CACAAAATTTTGTGAAGATACAATAACTACTTTCAAAGTCAAAATATATATATACCACCATGATGACATGTTAATTTCAAGGTCTTGTAAAATACATGAGCCCATTGCGATAGGGTTAATACACATGTTTTGTTATTAATATATTTAATCAAAGTGAACAAATTAAACTAAGCAAAAAAAATAACCTTCACCAAAACCAGCAAGAGTTTCTTTATTTTGTTTGCATATATATATTGTTAAGCTCAAAACTACATAATTAGCTATATGTGCTCTTCCTCCTATGGGTATCAAAACTCAATTTTTAGTGTTCTAAGCCCTCACACCTACAAATGAGCCACTGGAGAGTGTTTCTCGTTATAATTTGGCCTTTTCAGACCAGATAGATGCTACTGATACCCCCTTTGATTTTTTTCTTCTCACTGTTGGAATTCTAAACCAAACCACGTGTAAACTATAGTAAAATTTCTAAATAGTAATTATTTTTCAGTTTTCGTTGTGAGACATAGTTTCAAAGAAAATGTTAAAATACTTCCTTTCATCTAAGAATTTCAATTTTTTACCATGAAGTTTCATTTTATATTTCTATTCAGTCTGAACCATATTTCTTTTGATACTTTATTTTACTTATCAGTTGCAAAAATCTCGCAAATCTACAAAGATTTATTGGTTCCCTAGGATTTGACCTTTCAAAATGGCATCACAGATACCTTTGTCAAGTTAAATATGATGTTGTTAGCTTACAATATTGTTGGTCAAAGTTTTGTGTTTTCAATAAATAATGATTTATTTAATTTTTTTAGTTTTGTTTGAATATTATGAACTTAATAATATGCAATACATAAGGATTTGTGTCACTGGAATATTTTGTTCTAAACTTAACTAAGTTAACCTTTTCATAGAAGAAAGTTTCTGGGGCTTTGAAACAGATAAAAATTAACATGAAAATAACATATAGAGAAACTATGAAAAATTCCCACATCTGTCATTAGTTTCTCGTAGATTCCTTTGGTTGTCACTACAGGAGTTCTAGCTGGTCATGTTCCCATGAAACCATAAATTACTGCTCAAAAATGCCATTTTTGTTCTAAGTTGATGTAAAGAGCATTTAATGTGTTCTATACAATCGTATTTAAACATTGCTGCTTCATTAGTAATTATTCAAACCACATGCTGTGACATTATACAAAGGGTGGGAATAAAGGTCTGTACTAACGAACCAGTAGAAGAGAAGAAGAAAAATCACGTTTGGAGAAAAACTGGGTAATTATATTTTGAAGGGACTATATAAACCTTTGTATTATTTACAGGCAAGTTACCTTAGTTCTATTGTGTAAACATTTTACTTAAATGCACTCAACACCTGAAACGTACTGGTCATAATAGGGTTAATTTTGACAACCCTAATTACACATGCTAATTCTCTCACAAGGTTATTTTCTTATTTATTTATTTTAATATTGAATAATCATATAAATATTGAGTCAAATGTAATCGCATGAATTTTATACATTTTGTATATTGTTATGAAGTATAAATATTGTGCATTAACCTTTATTTTTACCTAATGCTTTAATGTATTTTATACATGTATCTGCCAAATTAGTTTGTCCCCTGTAACATCCCTTTTTCCTTCATACGTTGTTGTAACGTATTCTGTCTTATCATGTAGGCATATTTTATTATTGTTGTTGTTGTTTTCAGTAATGTTTCATTTGAATTGTAAATACATTAACAGTAGATGACCTTTGAGGTAGGTAAAATCTGAAGCATTGGGTGTTAATACAATTTTTCTCCAGGACTTCAGCAGCTTTCCAAATATATTTTTTTACCAATACAAGTTCTTGACTTGTAAGTAGTTGTAGTGATGATTTTTTATTGAATTTACTTTTGTGTGCAAAAAACGTTTCACTAGCTGTAGAATTAATTGGTCAAGTAGTTTCATAAAAGAAATAACAGTTTTATAGTTCAGTATTTTTATGTAGATATAATAATTTCTGGATTTCTTTGAATCAGCTAATGGATGGCAGGAAGGCGTGTGGTGGAAAGTTAGAGCTCAAAGTAAGGATACGAGATCCCTTATTGGCCAAACAGGTAGAAGAAGTGAAAGATCGTTGGCTTGTGATTGATTAGTAACCAGTAAGAAATACTGAACTTTGTTTGACTATCATGGAATACTGGCAAGTAAATTTTCATATGAAGGTTTTTGTGCTACAAAAAAAAGAGGTTTTATATCACTGGACTGTAAGTAGAGGGTTTGGGAAGAGGGAATTGTTAAATAATTTCAAAATGTTGTGTATAAATATTAACTATAACTAAAATGGATATGAAGCTGACATATATGTGTTTTTGTCATAGCTCAAAAATATTATAGAATTAAATAAAAAAAAATATCCTGCAAGGAATGTAGCTCGAGTAAATTTTATTAATTTGTAATTACTTTTTAAAGAGCATTAATTCAGATTCTATAAAAAACATGTGATGTGTGTAAACAATTATGAAGGAAGAAAACCAATGATTACTTTGTTTCTTTTACTTTTCTAAGAAAGCTTTCAGATGTATGTTGCAATTTCAATTAAATAAAGATTTGAAACCTAATTCTGACCGTTAAGATGGCTATGGCTTAGAAGTATATGTATTACTTTACCAGCAAAAATATTTGGAAATCAGTCTAAAGTAACTTGTATTTGATATGCTTTCAAAGAGTTTTACATTAATAACTATAAAAATGTAATAACTAGAAAGTTATGAACATAAAATCTGCTTATAACAAGTCATCCTGTGCATATTTGTGTAACAAATTATCCCGTACATATTTGTGTAACAAATCATCCCGTACGTATTTGTGTAACAAATTATCCCGTACATATTTGTGTAACAAATTATCCCGTACGTATTTGTGTAACAAATCATCCCATACATATTTGTGTCAATTCACAGCTTTAAAAACCTGAAGAACTCAGAAAAGTTTAAAACATTGTTATCCTGACATAACTTTAGGCAGGAGAAAATCCATAAAGATCCATTTTACAATTCTTTGTATTATTGTACTGAGAGTGGGGTTCATAAAGTAGTTTTATATTTCCTTAGCATGTCTTTATGTATTCCCGGATATGGTTAGTGACAACTGATTTTGTGAAGTATCTAGATTTTTTGTTGTAGCAGAGTTATTTTGTTTTGGTTTTATTATTCATCCTGTTTCAGCAACATAATTCTTACCACAGCAACAAAAAAAAACCTCAATGTTTTTTATGTTACACAAGAGTTTTCACTCTGGTACGTTGTTTTTTCTAAACGTCTCATGTACTCCTATTATTACACATGCCATATTAATAACTCTTGCTGCCAGAAAAAGGCTGTAACATGCAGTTGGAAATCCACATAAAAAAAGATAGATTTTGTCTTGTAAATTTTTGTAAATCGTAAATATGTAAATTTAGCTTATATAAAAATGTTATATAACACTAAAGTATTTACCATATACCAGTTTGCCTCTGGAGAAGAAAAGTCCATCTTTTGAAAGTGCTCAGGTCATGGGGTATCATTATCTTTGTGTACTATCTACGATAATTTGAGATATTTCCTTGTGAGAGAATTGTCGATGTCTTATGTCCACAGCTTTGTATTTACAAAATCATTGTTTTGTTAGATACTTTTAATTATTTTATTATTATTTACTTCAAGAGAAATGAGAAAACAAGTGTTACGACAATTTGATACTTCACAGTTCAATACAGGATTATCGACCAAGCTTGTGAGGGTTTCCATATGAGAAAACAAGCAACTACATTTAAAATTGGAAAAAAATAAATTATCAATCCGCATTGTACCTTTTTGGGAAGTTATATGTAATTCAGTTTTTCAAAAATAATAGTTCTGTAATTTTTCATTTCCATGTTGTAAAATCATCAAATTGTTAATTTCTGCAAGATTGTTTGTGTATTTAATCAGAAATTAAGAATGTTACATTGCCCTCGTATAGAGCTCACTAAAGAGTTTTTAGAAAACCTGTATCAATCCATTTACTGTTTCAGAATTAATTGTGTAAATATAAAAATAATATTCAAAAAACTTGATCACAGTGTAGTAATTAGATATTTCTGTAGCTTTTGATTTATATATTTTCTCTAATATTTGTCAATAACTTCTCCATAAACAATTTAATTTAGAGTAGAAGAGCAAATCAACTTTAGTATAATATAGAATAGCTTGATTGTTCCTTAGTTCTCCTGAAGAATAGTCGACTATTCGAAAAGTGCTCGGGTTTTAGGTCTTATTTTAAGTCTATAGAATAACTTAGAGTTGTAATTTCAACTAAGATTTGTAGCCTAAACACACTTTCCACAGTAAGACTTGTTCTTAAGGCAATTTTATGTTGTTGAAATCATGTTCAGGATAAGAAAAGCTGGAATTGTTTTACATGTGTATTTAAAAAAATTCAAAAGTATTAGTAAAAGTGTAAGAATTTGCCAACACTATGGTTCTCAAAGATAAGTTGATGCTATAGCATGAAGCAGATTACGTTAATGAATCTGTGTTATGAATAAGTAAACATATGTTATTATTTCAACCAAAAGTAAAAGTTTGATGAGTTGGTATTGTTACTGATTTTGTTTTGTAACAAGATTAAAAGTAAATATGACCTATGAGCAGGTTTAATAATAGTAAATACAAACCACTGATCCAGCTGAGTGATATTCATAGTAAACACATGTTTTTGATTTGGACTTATTTATGTCATATGCAACTGTATTCATAGTAGTGAACCATATATCTGGCTTCATTTTGCAGTAGTCCAGCTGTCAAATATCTGTTATCTTTTATTCATGAAGAGATTGATTTTTTGTGTTCTCTAAATAAAGTACTAAATTTTTTTTGTATTTTGAAAAAATGACCTTGTATTTCTTCTCCTTACTTATTTTATTAAAATATACAAAACAAACCATATCCATTTTTCTTTTAGTCCATGCTGCTCAGGCTGTACAAAAACAAACAATATCTATTATTCTCCTAGTCCATGCTGCTCAGGCTGTACAAAAACAAACAGTGTCCATTATTCTCTTAGTCCACTCTGCTCAGACTGTACAAAAACAAACAGTATCCTTTATTCTCTTAGTCCATGCTGCTCTGGCTGTACAAAAACAAACAGCATCCTTTATTCTCTTAGTCCATGCTGATCAGACTGTACAAAAACAAACAATATCCTTTATTCTCTTAGTCCACGCTGCTCAGGCTGTACAAAAACAAACAGTATCCTTTATTCTCTTAGTCCATGCTGCTCAGACTGTACAAAAACAAACAGTGTCCTTTATTCTCTTAGTCCACGCTGCTCAGACTGTACAAAAACAAACAGTATCCTTTATTCTCTTAGTCCACGCTGCTCAGGCTGTACAAAAACAAACAGTATCCTTTATTCTCTCAGTCCATGCTGCTCAGGCTGTACACAAACAAACAGTGTCATTTATTCTCTTAATCCATGCTGCTCAGATTGTACAAAAACAAACAGTGTCATTTATTCTCTTAATCCATGCTGCTCAGACTGTACAAAAACAAACAGTATCCTTTATTCTCTCAGTCCATGCTGCTCAGGCTGTACACAAACAAACAGTATCCTTTATTCTCTTAGTCCACACTGCTCAGGCTGTACAAAAACAAACAGTGTCATTTATTCTCTTAGTCCATGCTGCTCAGGCTGTACAAAAACAAACAGTGTCCTTTATTTTCTTAGTCCATGCTGCTCAGGCTGTACAAAAACAAACAGTGTCCTTTAAACTTGTATGTTGCTGAGAGTATACAAAAGCCAAGAGTATCCTTTGAAATATTATGATTACCAAGTGATTAAACCATTTATTTTCTAAGATATTAGCAAAACAAAAGTGTAAAGATACGTGATGTTCCTTTTGATAAGGTTTTTAAGATCAACTGAAAAATGACTAATCTAATAATGTCATTATTACCTGATTGTAATTTATCATTTAGAGGACTCTGAAATGAATAAAAGTCTTAACTCGTACTTCATAATATGATCTTCTAAACCTTCAGATTATACATGCATGAATTAATATGTAATCTATGGAAATATAATATTCAATTGTCTATCTGTCATACTCTGTATCTCCTGAATGGTTAATTATACAAACAAGAAGTTTGTATCAAAATCCATATTTTCAAGAGTATATTACAGGAAAATTATTCATTCTTTGCAATTCCTAACATTTCATATTTATATCAACATTGGTTCATCTGTCTTAGTATGTGCTGAATGATAAATCTGACAACAAATTTATTAAGAGCAAAAATGTTTGTTTGGGGGGGGGGGGGTTTACAAAAAAAAAAGGGACTTCCTCCATTATCTAATTGAAAGAAATATTTGAAGGAAGAAAGGTAGAAATTAAACAGGAAAACCTCATCATGAGAGGAATGTTTTTCAGTAAGTATTTGTTTTGTTTTGGTTCGTAATTCCCAATGGTTACTTCTTAATCTGTTATCAAATTTTTGCTGTCTTCAATTTTACGTTTTTTTTTTCTTCAGTCATATTGTAAACAAAGAAGAGCTTTGAAAATACGATTAATCAAACAAAAATCCCAACATCTAAATGACCATGGCGTGTTCTTATAAAATAAATTCCACCTTTTGGTTTGTTTTCATTCTAGGTTATCAAAAGTCTCTTTTTTATTTATTTTTTTTTTTTAGCTTTTCACGGGATATATTTTTTGTTAATGTTATAATGTCTCAGTTTTGAGTTTTACGACATAATAAGCGCTATCCAATATTTTTTCTATTAATTTTGCGTCTAAAAAGCACTATTTTAAAAAAAAATTGATATTTTCACCAAAAAGCCAAGGCTTGTTGTTTTTTGGTTCATATATATATACGTATATATACTTTTGTTTTTCATGTTGGTATTATTTAAATGCATGATTTTATTTTACCATGTTGAATAATTGATTTGAATTGAATTTCTCCTCTCTGATTCTTCTTATAGGAACGTCAGTTGTCAAAAAATGATCACTTCTGTAGCAATCTTTTTTTCAGCTCAAAAAATAGCAAGAAATGGTGGCTGAAATAGTCCCAGTGGCTGAAGCTGAGTGCTCTGATGTATCGAAAACCGAAAGATTTTTTCCAACAATGCATTATATTCAGTCTCCTTTTCTTAAAAGCAAATGCAATAAACTGTCTCCAAGTAAAACTAGGATGAAAGAAAAAAACGTTATCAAAATAAAATGTAAATACTTAATATTTAAAAAAAACACACACACTAAAGAAATGATCATTAATTTCACTATAACATTATGTACAGTTTATACTTGTCATTGAACAACACTGAGTCCATACAGTCATGCACTATGCTAAAGAAAACATGAAAAGATGAAAGAAAATAACGGTTGATATTTAAAATAAAGTCACGGCTGAACAATGGATGACAGATGATTTTATGTTGTATATAGTGACAACAAGAAGCTTTTCATTCAACTAATAAGATATCTTAGAAATATGAATAATATTATGACAATTTGTTGAATAGGCGAAACTGCAGTCTATGGCGGAGGGTACAGCCAATCATTAGACCTGTACGTCATAGATTCTCTTTTCAGTTTTCTCTCTGGTGAAAAAGAAATATATGTCACT